AAAAAAAGTACACCAGAAAAAATAATATATAGCATAATATGACGCCCCTGAAGGTGAAAAGACCCATTCTCATCAGTGATGATAGAAAACGTAAATTTACAATGGTTAACTGTAATAAACACTCGTAGGTCACGGAAAAAGTGTAAAAGAAAGCTAATTTTTTCGGGGAAAAAAAATTTTCCCGGGCACCTGGGGTGCCGCGCGCTACGGCCTATATCTCGGAAGTAAGTTATTTAGCTATTTAGGGTCAATCCATCCTTATTTATGAGTGAATTGACTTGATTTTGACTACAAGCATAGAAGAATGATTGCTTTACAATGTAAAGTGTTCCTTTCTGAACTATCCCAAATATTTTTAGATTTATGTGGGCAACAAGACCGACATCTTACAAAATGTCAAAAAAAGTTATGAAACTTTATTTTTTTTTAGCATGAAGATAAGGTTTATTTTAGAATTGGTACACTTTTCGTGATGGAATTAGAAGTGTTCTATCAGCAGCAAGTGTCAAAACCACTTTTCCAAGTACCACTGAGTACAAGCCCGCTGCCAAATGCAATTTTTCGTAAATTTTTGCATATTTCATTTCCTTTTTGGCCGATATGTTTGAAACTTCAGCGCAGGATACTCGATATAAGCTTCTAATAGTACACCAAAAATGAACGTAATCGGTTGACAAATGAAGGGGTCGAGATGTTACCCCTCAGGCTCACCACCAAAGATGTCTGGGCTCCATTCCTGGCTGAGTGATGTGCATGGCAAGCCTTCTTCCACCTGCTGTCCCTCTTCATCCACAACAAACATGTATCGGGAAGTTCATGGGACTGTTGTGGGTCGTGTCAGAGGAAGATTTAAAGAATCACAACGGAAATATAACCCACTGCTTCACTTCCCTAGTTTATTATGACTATAACGATCCAGGGAGGGTATTATTAGTTATTCTGAGTGCGTTTGTAAGATAAGATAAGATTTCGTTCGGATTTTTAACTCCGGAGGGTTAGCCACCCAGGATAACCCCAAAGGGAAAGTCGGTGCGTCATCGAGGACTTAACTTATTTCCATTGGGGTCCTTATTAATCTTGTGCCCCAGGATGCGACCCACACCAGTCGACTAACACCCAGGTACCTATTTGCTGCTAGGTGAACAGGACAACAGGTGTAAGGAAACGCGTCGAAATGTTTCCACCCGTCGGGAATCGAACCCAGGCCCTCCGTGTGTGAAGCGGGAGCTTTAGCCACCAGGCTATTTGTACTCACCTATTGTGGTTGCAGAGGTCGATTCACAGCTTCTAACCCCCAGCTCTTCGCTGGTCGCTACTAGGTCCATTTTGACCCCGTAGCCTGAACTCTGCCTGCGGTCTTCTTTGACCTTCCCAACTCTTCATGACTTTGCACTTGGTGGGGATTAAACTCCAGGAGCCAGTTGCTGGACCAGCTATCAGCCGTTCCGGGTTTTCATTTTAGTTCTACCTGATCCTCATCCGGCATTAGCTTCACGTCGTCTGCACACAGGGATACCTTTGAATCTATCCCTGCCGTCAAGTCATATATATATATACCAGAAACAGCAACGACCCTAGGACTGACTCTTGTGGCACCCCACTCGTCACAAGCGCCCGCTCTGATACCTCGTCACTACCACCCACTCGTTGTTTCCTTCCTGACAGGTATTCTCTGATCAACTGCAGTGCCTTTCCTGTTATTTCTGCCTGCTCCTCTAGCTTTTGCGCTAATGTCTTGTGCAGAACTGTGTCTAAAGCCTTCTTACAGTCCAAGAAAATACAGTCTACCCACCCCTCTCTCTCCTGCCTTACTCCTGTCACCTTGTAAAACTCCAGTAGGTTTGTGACACAGGATTTCCCCTCTCTAAAACCATGCTGGTTATCATGTATAAGCTCATTCCTTTCTAGGTGCTCTACCAGTCTCTGATAAGCTTCTCCATTACTCTGCAGAGTATACATTCAATGACACTGATTCGGGTATTTTAATGTATCTGCCTGTTCCTTTCAAAAAGATAGAGACTCATTTGCTGTCTTCCACACCTCAGGTAGTTGCCCTGTTTCGATAAGTGTGCTGAAGATTGTTGTTAGTGGCACACACAGCACCTCCCTTTCCCCTCTCTCAGGATCCTTTGGAGAGATGTTGCCCAGTCCCACCGACTTTGAGGTATCTAGTTCACTTAGAAACCCTCTTTACTCCTCCTGGGTTGTGTGGGGTGTGTCCAACACTATTGGTGTACCCTATCCATTCCGGTTTACTGTTGTCCAAAGTTTGACTCCACTGAAAATATTTCCCTTAAATCTTGTGTTTACTCTTCACATCCTTTTTTATCTTTTCTTGTGATCTCCCCTCAGCCCTTTCCCACAGCCTGATTATCTGGTTCTGATTGTTGTTTTCCTCCTGATGTGGCTGTACAACAACTCTGGGTCAGATTTGGCTTTCGATGATTGTCATTCTTCATACTGCTGCTGGGCCTCCCTCCTTATCCATGAATATTTATTTCTGGCTCTTCGAGTAATCTTCTTATTTTCGGGGGTCCTTTGTCTTCTATACTTTTTTCCATCTTTTATAACACTTAGTTTTGGCCTCTCTACACCTTTGGGTGAATCATGGCTCGTTCTGTCCTTCCCATTAATTCGATGTCCTTAGGTACAACCTCTCCTCCAGCTCTTTGCATTTTGTGGTCAAAGTATTCCATCATTTCATTCACTGTTTTTCACCAGTTCTCTCTCCCCCTGTAACTCATGCAGGGAATTCCTCATGCCTGTGAAGTCCCCTCTTTTGTAGTTTGGCTTCTCCCGTTTACTCATGCTGCTTTCCCCTCTACTTTTACCTCTACAAAGTATTTGAAGCTCAGGTCCACGTGATCACTGGCTCCAAGGGGCCTTTCAGATGTGATGTCCCTAATGTCTGAACTACTCAAGGTGAATATGAAGTTCATCTTCGCTGGTTTATCCTCTCCTCTCTCTCTGGTAGTGTCCCTAACATGTTGTGCATGGGGATTTCCAGCACCACTTCCTTTATCTTAGCCCTTCACGTTTCTGGTCCCTCCTGTAGCTCCAGGGTTTTCCCTGTCATTCCATGTGATTAAAATCACCCATAATTAGTAACTATGCGCTGCCCATGTGGGTCCTTCTGGCAACCTCTGTTGCTTTCATGATACTCTTGGCCTCCTGCTATTCAGTGGCAAGTTATAAATCACTGCAATCACTACCTTGGGACCCCAAGTCTTAAGTGTTCCTACTGTGTAGTCCCTTAGTTCCTCTCTGTCCAATCCATCCACTTTCTCAAAACCCTACTGGTTTTTTTTTGTTGAGCATTGCAACTCTTCACTTTTGCTCCCTTTGCCTTTCCTTATGTTATGGTATCCGGTTGGAAAGATTGCATCTGTTATCATTTTTGTCAGCTTGGTTTCCATGAGTGCTCTGATGTCTGGGGATACCTCCATGATTCTTTCGTGCCACTCTTCACGCCTCTGCGTTGATGTACCAAACCTTCAGCTTCTTTTCCAGGATTATATTCTGGGAGTTTGTAGAGGCTGGAGAAATGGGAGACCAGACATGCGATGCTGCTGTGTAGGTGGGGTTTGTTCTGGGGAAGGGGCACGGACTGTGAGTGCAGAGTGTAGTTTGATTTGGGTTAGATTGTTTGGTTGTGGTGTTCTGTGAATGGTTCTTTGCGTGGATGTGTTTGCTGGTGATCCTGACTCTGGGTTCCCCTTCCTGTCTCTAGCCTTGTCTCTCTTTCTTGCTCCTTGCATCTTTGTATCCTCTCTCTCAGTTTCTGCTGTTCTCTATGCATTCTGTCGTGGTCGAGGAACATTGACTTGTACTTTGTTTCCTTTAGCACTGTTTGCACTGCAGGATCCTGATTCGTATTGTTTCTGCCCTGAAAACCAATCTGATTGGTCGATTTTTACCCCTCGGGTGTCCCCCGATTCTCTGAAAATTCATCAGCTTAGTTATGTCCTTCTCTCTATTTGTTTGATAACATTTTCAATCTCTTTTTCCTCTTCCTGTTGCCTTTCTTCACATGTCCTCCCTGTGTGTGTGTGTGTGTGTGTGTGTGTGTGTGTGTGTGTGTGGTGTGTGTGTGTGTGTGTGGTACTCACCTATTTGTACTCACCTATTTGTGGTTGCAGGGTCGAGTCCTAAACTCCTGGGCCCCCCCTCTTCACCCTTGCTACTAGCCCTCTCTCCTCCCCCTCCATGAGCTTTATTCAAACCTCGTCTTAAAAACTGTTTTATGGTTCCTGCCCCCACTACGTCATTTTCTAGGCTATTCCACTGCCTTACAACTCTATGACTGAAGAAATACTTCCTACTATCTCTCTGACTCATTTGTGTCTTCAACTGTGTGTGGTGTGTGTGTGTGTGTGTGTGTGTGTGTGTGTTTTGGTGTGTGTGTGGTCATGTGTGTGCAAGTTCACCGAGTTGTCTTTATGGGGATCGAGACTCGGCTCCTGGTCCTGCCTTAGACTACACTGATAAGCAGTACTGATCTCTGGGCTTTATCATAAAAGTCTTTCCACTCTTCGACCACTCTGAGGCTAAAGAAATATTTCCTTACATCCCTATGGCTCATCTGTGTCTTCAGTTTTCACCTGTGTAGGCGAGGCCACAACATGCAGGAGGAGAATGACAGAGATGTTTGAGGCTCACTGGTGTACCCGGCGTCAGCAAGGAACATGACTTATCATCATGCTGGCTTCTTAACCTTATTAAGCATCTGTAGCTGAGTCGTTTAAGGCATCACGTTGCCAGCTATCTACACTCGTGGTGATCTGGTAGTCCTGGTGTCTGAGATATATATATATATATATATATATATATATATATATATATATATATATGTGTGTGTGTGTGTGTGTGTGTGTGTGTGTGTGTGTGTGTGTGTGTGTGTGTGTGTGTGTGTGTGTGTGTGTGTGTTTGTGTGTGTGTGTGTG